CACAGACACAATGGAATACTATGCAAAGATAAAGAACAATGATGAATCATCTCAATAGCATCGATGACCTTAGAGGACATTATGCTGAATGAAATTAATTAATCACATAAGGACAAATATTACATGAGGTCACTATTGTAAAAGTCAAGAACAAGTTTCACAAAAAAAAGAAAAGAAGTATTATTTGATGGTTACCAGGGATGGGTAGGGAAGAGAGGGTAAACAAACTAACAAAAATTGCAGCCTAGGAAAACCTATAGGACAGTTCTACTCTTATCGCTGTGATTCAGACTCATGATATTGACTTTATAGCAAATAACACAACAGTATGAAGTCAGCAGGTCCCTGGGTGGCACAAATGGCTTGTGCTTGACTACTGGTCGAAAAGATAGTAGATCAAATCCAGTGGGCCACAGATGAAAGACCTGGCTATCTGCTTCTGTAAAGATTACAACCTCAAAAACTCTATAGAACAGTTCTACTCTAGAAAAAACAGAGTTGCCATGAGTCAGAATCCACTTTACAACAAAAGCAGAAAAACTCATCACCATCAAGTCAATTCCAACTCATAGCGACCCCTTTTGGGTTCCCAAAGTGATAAATCTTTACAGAAGTAGATTGCCCCATCTTCCTTCCTCGGAGTGGCTGGTGGGTTTGAACACCAACCTTCTGGTTAGCAGTCAAATGCCTTAGGCTCTATGCCACCAGAGCTTCTTTTACAGCAATAGTGATTTTTTTTTTTTTTTTCAGTTTATGAGGTCAGTAATTTGGACAAAATCTATTTAAAAAGTCTGAATACTCAGTTGAAGGAGCAATCTCTCTGATGTCTGTCTTGTTCCCACTACCTGCCTGCAGCTTATTCATTTCTCACTATAAACTGAATTAGCAAGAAATCAAGGTGTAAGAAGTATGGAAGAAACTTATGTCATCTACTTTTATGGCTTATTATCAATGCAAAGAATTTGAGAATAAGAAAGCTGGACTGAATAACTAAAATGATATCTTTAGGCTATGAATTTCATTTGCTCTATTACCATAAATCATGAAAAATTAGCTGTCAGAATTTCAAAACAAAACAGAACACACTAGAAAAACAGGTATTAATCAAGTCACCATCTTTTGAAACATTTTTTTCCTCTGTTAGAATTCTTCAGGTAAGAAGATGAAGGAAAAAAAACAATGCATTACCTTACAATATCCTATACATTTTCTTAGAGGAAAAATGATAAGTAAGGTGACTAGTGACACTTATTGGAAAAAGCAAAGTTTCTGTTCCCCAGTTACTAGTTACATTTATAGTAAGAAGGCCCTGTAGATGGTTTCCAGGGTATGGGGAGAATTCACCTTTTCTCTTTACAGCCCAAAATGTACAGATATCTTGTTTATAAATAACTTGCAGATATCACAGTCTCATAGTGAGAATAGTCTGTCATATGTTATATCTATAACTGAGAAGTAACGATAAATGGCATCATGCTTATTCTTCTATTCTAGTCCCCACAAAACTGGTCTCCTGACATGTATCTGCATGGCCTCGTGTAACAAAAGCTAACGTCTTTCTATTTGAAAGGCTTCAGAATGTCCTGAAACAGACTTAAGAGCATCTTTGTATTCTTCTTGCTATTTGATTGTTTTAGCTCAGTATACAGAATATATCAGCACCTAACAAAATAAAACAAAACAACAACAACAAAGTCACTGTCAAGTTGATTCCAACTCCTGGTAATCCCACGTGTGTCAGAGTAGAAATGTTCTCCGTAGGGTTTTCAATGGCTGATTTTTTGGAGCAGATCACCAGACCTTTCTCCAAGGCACTAGTTGGACTCGCACCTCCACCCTTTCGGTTTGGAGGCAAGTGCATCAACCGTTTGCACCACCCAAGGATTCCATCTTAACCATACAAAATTATAAAAATCAATGCATACATCTTCAATTTCACAAAACCACATCAATTATTGTTTTAAAAAGATTGTATTTTCTTTGATATTATCAGTGTTATTTGCCATCCAGCATCAAGAGTTAGATTTACAACTATGTCATGAAACTCTGAGTTGACAATCACCCAACAGTACAGAGTTGGCTTCCACACACATCATAATAACCTTTTTTCTCTATTGCTGGGCTACACTGCTTCCACATATCTGAGGTCTGTGACATAACCTCTGGAAAATATAGCACATGCTGCCCCATTAAAGAATCACTAATCAGAGTTTGTATGTGTTCATTTTGTGCTCAAATTTTTAAGTCCAATGAGTCAGAACTAACTGGATAGCAAGTGATTTTTAACAGCTAGATACTGGTAGGGAGCTCTGGTAGCATAGTGGCTAAGGCACTTGACTGCTAACCAGAAGGCTGGCAGTTCAAACCCACCAGCCACTCCTGGGAATGAAGATGGGGCAAGCTACTTCCGTAGTGATAACTGCCTCGGAAACCCAAGGAGGGGTCACTATGAGTCAGGTCCGACTTGACTGGGTCCGACTTGACGGGGTCCGACTTGAGGGCACATAACAACAACAACAACAGGTACTGGTATGTAGATTTCCCTTGTTACCCAAAAGTAGACAGTTCCTATGAAACCTTTCTTAAATTGAAATGGCCTAAAGTGAAGAAGCAATTACCAGTAATTTACATGTGAAAAACAAAATTGAGATTTCCCATACCAAAAAAAAAAAAAAAAAAGATCTACTCAATCATACCAATAACACATAAAACCTAAAATAACACTAACATACAGTAAACGCAGGAATGATCTCATAAATACACAGACAATATAAAGTAGAAATAATGCACATAGAGTGTAGTTCCAAGGTAAGGAGCTTAGTGACGGCATGCTCACTGCTCAGGTGCGCAATACCTCTTTAACAGCTAGCTGCAAAACTAACGTCAATGGTGGTTTCGCTTTTCCCCTTTTTTCGTAAAATCAAAAATCATTTTCGGTTAGCAGTAACAGGCACCAATATAGATTTTTCCTAAAAGCGAAGTGGCGTAAAGCAAATTTTCGAAAAGCGCGGTGACCTATGCCTGTATACTGAGCTAAAACGTCTACCCCCAGTCCAGCCACTTTCCATGCCCTTCATTTTATGACCACCAAAAACAAAACCGTAGCTGTTCAAACAGGGAACTGAGGAAAGAAAATAATGAGGCAGAGCTGGATTTAATCCTGTTTATTTAGAGTGCATTGCCTGTAGTGTAATTGTGTTGAACAAGTGTTAGTTTTTAAAATTTTGATCATGCCTTTGGCCTTTCAAAAGGACTTGCTTTGTAGATCCAGGGCGCTTTTAATTTTCCAACTAGGCTTCTGGTTTGCTTAGCTAATTCTGTGGACTCCAGTGTACAGTCCACACCTGAAAAAGGGGAGTTTTCGATGTTGTGGTTAATTAACCAGGTACTTTCCATTCACTCAGCTAACAATTAGAAAACAGAAAGAAAAAAGAGAGAGCCTATTACTTTTTTTTTTTATTATTCCAAATATGGAGATGGAAATTATTAAACAAATAAGGAGGGAAACTCCCGCATATTTCTCCTTAATCTGAGTGGACTGGTGTTATACCTGCCAAGAGGCGAGCGACCTACCTCAGAGGTGGGCTGGCCGGCTAAGAGGGAAAATGAGAGGTCAGACTTCCCCACGAAGAACCACTTCTGCCTCTAGAGGAAGAAGAGAAGCATCACTCAGTGTCTCAAACTCTTGTCTGCAATCCGGGGAGGCTGGGTTCCTTCCGTAGGCCTAGAGCGGTGGTGACTGGACCTGAGGAGGTATGCTACTCCCGGAATAGCTGTCCAGCACAATACCCACTCCCCAATTGCGCCTAAACTTCTGACTTGCAAGCAGGTAGAAGTGCCCTCTCATCTCTACTCCTTAGTGTCATTCTCCCTGTCCCGCCGCCGTCTATAATGGCTTGGTTCTATTTATTGGGAAGGTGACACTTAAAGTCAGAAGACTCACTGTGGCAAACACTCAGAGCCACTAGGAGATTCTGGGAAGAATAAAGCTGTGGATCTCATGGCTAAGTCATCAAACAGAGAAAGAGCCTTGAGAAGTCTTAGGCCAGCAACTCCGGTTACAGACCCTGCGGACTTGCTTAAATCTCCAAAGGACTGGGGGGAGGGGCAGGACTTCCTTGAGTTGGGACAGAGGGCGAGCTCCTAACTTCACCAAAGAGGGCAGTTTGCACCCAGAGACAGATCTGTGTTGGGGCTGGAGAGTGGCCCCCGCACTTCACTCAGTTCGCAACAGCTGCAGGGCAGTGAGCAGCTCGGAACAAAGGAGGGCGCAGCGCGGGTGTGAGAGGTTGGGGTTTGCGCGCAACTGCCACTCGTGCTGAGCTAGTCTCCACACCCGCTAGGCAAGCGTCGGGGGTGCAAGGATTCGGGGGGGAGGAGAAGAAAAGGAACACGGAATGCGATTCCTGTTGCGCTGCTACGCACCAGGAGTTCTTGTGAACGCTAGGAATGGCAAATAACAGAGCCAAGGGGGGAAAAAAAATAGCTGGAGCGAGCAAAACAAAGAGCGAGTGTGGGCCGCGGTGACTTCATGCCTCACCAATGTCCCGCCCACGCTGCTCCGAGCTGTTGCTGCTGCTGCCTCCCGGGGCCGCGCCTGCCGGCCGCCCCGGCAAAAAGCTCGGTAGCGTGGGGAGGTTTCCTAGCAACTTGCGGCCAGAAGCGCGCCCAGCTACCCTCTTGTTGAAAGATCCCCGGGGGGAGGTCAGAGAGAGACCACCCCTCCTCCGACCATCGCCGGCCTCCTCTCCCTCGCATCCTCGCCCGGTGCGACCCAGAACGCGCCAGCTGCCCGGGCTCTAGGTGGCTGGACGCCCGAGCCGTGCACTGGGGCCAAAAGGACGAGGGCACGCAGCCCCCGCCCCGCGAGGCCGGCCTCTAGCACCCGCGCCAAACCTCCCCTCCCGCGCTCATAGCAGTCCCCTCCACTCCCAGCCGAGCGGGGAGCGAAGATGTACCGCGCTGTGCCCGCCGGCGCCGGTGGGCGCTTCTAAGGCGCTCCCGGAGCCGCCTCCCCGGCTGCTGGCACCCAAAGCTTCCTCCTTCGCCAGCCAGGACGCTGCCGCCTCGTCCTTGCCCGCGGCTCCGCTGACGAGGCTTCAAAGCTGCAACTTAGTGGAGTTGGCCTCCCTGCCCACCTGTGGAAGAAGCTCACGCTGATTGATGCGCCATCGACATTTTTCCTCTTCGGCCTCGCGGGCGTCCCCTCCCACAGAAGCAGCATCACCCGGTGAATGTACACTAGGGTGGTTTTTCCCCCCTGCTTCGGGCTTTGTTTGAGTTTGATTGTGTTTGACTCTTTGCTGAGCTGATTTATGCAGCAGAAGCCCCATCGGCTGGAAAGAAACAAAAGCTCTTTTCTTTGTCCCAGAGCGGGCTGCAGAGCCCTAGCTCGCGTCGCCTCCGCGGGGCTTCGGCCGTCCGAGGAGGTGCTGCTGGCTGAGACGGCGGGACCCGCGGTCCGAACTGGGAGGGCCGCGGGGGCCCTGAGATGCCGATCGGTGCCCAGGCCAGCGTACCTGCACCGGTAGCTCCGAGCCGCGGGGTCCGCCTGCCGGGCCTGCGGGAATCGTCCTAGTGAGACTCGGCCCGTGGGCCCCGAGGTGCGCCCAGGAGGCGCAAGCACGCGCCCCGAAAGCAGAGAGGCGGCGGGCGCGGTGCGAGCGACTGTGCATTATGTGCCGCTGGGCCCTGGCTTTTTTTACCGCCGCATTTGTCTGCCTGCAAAACTGCCGGCGAGGTCCTGCCCAGGCTCTCCGGGCGGCCTGGGTGTTTTCATTTGTTCTTGGATTGGGCCAAACTGGTAAGTTATGTTTTTCCTTCTCTTCCCAAAGGTCTTGGGCTGTCACGAGTGGTTGCCTGGCCAGAGCATCCTGTCCAGGAGAAGTGGCCGGTGTCATTGCCGGTGTCCCAGACAGCATCAGAAGAGCGGGTGTATGGCAGCCTTTTCCTTCGCAGGCTGCCCCAGGGAGGCCAGGTGTCAAGCATTTCCGCTCCAGAGTGACAGCAATAACTAATTATACAAGGAAACACTGGATGCTCCCTAACACGGGAGTTTGGAAGGGAGGAGGAGAGGGTCTTATTTAGATAAGCCAATGTAGGGATTCCATTCCATCCTTGAGGTCATTGTCTGTACAAAGTATGTTCCTCATCTTTCTTGCATTTGGGTCCACTAACCACTAACTTGCATTTGACTCGAGGTTGTGGATAAAGTGATTGGAATGGAAATGAGTCTTCCATTTTTTAGTCCATGAAAGCATAGGCTGCATCATGAAAGTTTCTTCTATCATAGTGCTTTGCTTGAATGAATTAAACACACGAGGTGTATTCTTGCTTTAAATTATCATCTTTCCAGATTTTTAAAACTTTCCTGATTGACTCCTCAGGTGTCAATCTCTGAGACTGAGAGGCAGAGAAAAGCCTGGACCAGGACTGACCTTCAGTCCAGACAAGCCACTTCTGTAAGAGTAACCTTGAGTTTGGAGAGTTTACCTCTCTATAAACTTTTGTTTTTGTTTATTGTCCTCATCTGTAAAATAGTGATAATAATCCTTGTTCTCCCTAAATCACAAAAGGAAGCTCAAGTCTAGCAGTGTATGAAAAAGTGTTTAGGGAATTTGGAATTACATGCAAATTTAATAGCAGGAATTTGTCAGCAGCAGTAGAAAATACAAAAAGTAAGAGTAATGATCAATTTAGGGTGAGTTCTTAATTGTTTGAACATAGGTCAAACATTTGTTTATGGCAATGCCATGATTATTGCTATACTTTTTTTTTTTTCCCCAATTTACCTTATCTGTGTTTGGTGGTCACTGAGCCCTTAAATTTTATTAGAGGCTTTCTCTGACCTCTCTGGTTCTAGGAGAGTTTAACTAATAACTGTACTTGTTTTGTAGACTAAAATTTACTCCTACGCTTTGAAGTGGTATGCCAAGTTCCAACTTGAAGCTAATTATACAACAGTCAAGTCATAACCTTATAAAAATACTTATAATGGAAATAGTAAGCTAGCTTTGCTTAATTGTTGCATGTGTAATTGTCTTATATTTGTTTCAGGGAGATTTACCTAGTTATGTGAAACCAGGGTAATTATGTTGTGGTTATTTTTGGCTTATATGTTGATTTCAAAATAAGTGAACATAGAGCAAAGGAAAAAGTAACATTCACTATCAATTATCTCTTAATGGAACATGCAGCACATTTTTCCACAGAGCAAAATTCCATCCAGTTTTATAAATTAATGACAGAATGTTTTTCTAGATTTAGTAAACACATACAGACATAATAATAAAATGATGAAGATGTGTCAATAGGATATATTTTGTCCCCAGTAGGTAAGCAAAGGGAAAAAAAAATTTAAAAAAGAAAAAAAGGGTACCTCTAGAATTTTCTAATAATAGTAATAAGGTTTTTTAAGCATTCGTTGTGCTTTGTAAATATTAATCAGTCGCTCATGAAATAGCATTATGTTCCCATCAAGTGAATGTAACTGATTTGAAGCAAATATTATGAATGGGCCCCCTTGCACCTGCAGTCCTGAGAATGGAATACTTATCTGAAATCAGAACAAGGCATCCTTTTCCAAGCCTCTGTCAATATGCAAAGATTTCTGATGTATTCTGGTTTCCACTGCAGTTAAAAACATGCAAAAAATTTAAATTACAGCCAATACAACTCAGAAAATTAAAGATCATTGTAAACTTTTGTACTTTTGTGATATAGCTACAAGTCTCAAATTATATGTCTGCACAGTGCAAATTAGATGCTTAAAGTAGAATAGAAATTTAGGTATCAGTTACAAAGGAAATCTTGTTCCCTTGCTCAGTAGTTTACACCAAGAAAATGTTGAGGGCAATAAAGCCATACTAAAGGAACCCTAAAGTACATAAAAACAACAGACTTTAATTTACATTTTGAAGTAGGATTTATAGGCCCCAAATGCATAATAGACTTTTAATAACAAATACGTAGTGAACAGGGGGTTAGTATTAATAAAATAACTTTGTGGGGTATAAGAAAAATTACAGGAGTTTGCTTGTCAACTTTCCCTAGTGGAAATTACTGACAATGACAGAAACAATAGCACTATCAAATGGTTAATGAGTAACTGGACAACACTGAAGAATACCTAGCTGGTTAACATTTGAAGAGTTAATGCAGCAATCTGTTGTTTCCTCTGTCATTTATTTTGAAATGTTAAAAACTTTCATTACTTAAGTTGTTATATAGAAATATAAGAATGACACATTTCAGAGATGACCATTTTTTTTATAAAAGTAGTAATTATTATCACAATGAAGTTTCTCCTTGTGTGCATAATTATTTATTCTTTTAAATAACAAGCAAGTGGATTAGCATCGTTCTGTGGCTGTAGCGGTCCTTTATCTCAAAACATGTTTCATAGCACAGAATGCACAAGAACAACCTAACTTTGGGTTTAATATTTGAAATAGGATTTATTGGCCCTGTTCACAATTCTTCATGCTTACCTAAAGTGAGAGTTTGTTTAAGAGAATCAAGACATCATTTTAAAAAAATTAAATTAAAATTCGGTCTTACAGACTATTTGCTTGAGTAGACATCCTAATGAATTCTACCTGAAAGCAACTGAGACACTTGCTGATCAGTTAAAAAGCTATCTATCTGTGCACTGTATATGAAACCCAAGTACATAGCTGACACGATTTGGAAAATGCCAGAGAGATGTCTGTGCCTTGAATAGTTCCTTCACCTGTTACATTACTTGAAATTTCACCATTTATTGGATTTCTTTGGGTTAAATGCAGTATTGACACTATGCTTTCTGTTGTTTGTTTGTTTAACTTTGTACTGTGGACGTTTTCATACATATACAGAAGCAGAGAGTATGGTATAAGGAGCAGCCATCTACCCATCACCCATCTTTATCAGCTATCAGCTAATGGCCAACTTCTTTTATTTCTGGCCCCACCTAGTTCCTCTCCTTCCCAAAACTGGATTGTTTTCAAGTAAATCATTCAAATATTTTATCTGAAAATATTAATGTAAATAGAAATACCATTGGAGGAGAAACTTGTTGTTATTAATTCCACAGCAGGAATATTTCTATTTGATCGTTTTCGCTAGAAATGTTGTTGTTAGCTGTTGTTGGGTTGACTCCGACTCATGATGGTCACGTTATATACAACAGAACAAAATATTGCCCCAGTCCCACATCATCTTTACAATTGTCAACATGGCCGGGGCACATTGTTGCAGCTATTGTACCAATCCATCTCACTAAGGATCTCCCTCTCCCTCTTTGGTCCTCCACTTCATCAAACATGATGTTCTCCTCCAGTGATTGATCTACCTAATGATGTGTCCAAAGCAAGCAAGCCAATCAAAGCTCTTTTGTGAGCTATAAGATTTTCACTGGCTAAGTGTTGGAACAACAACAACAATTGTTGGAAGCAGATTGCAGGCCTTTCTAATCTGTCTTAGTCTGGAAGCTCTATTGGAATCTGTCCACCATGCAGACCCTGATAGTATCTGAAACACCAGTGGCATTGCTTCCAGGATCGAAGCAACTCACAAGCCACCACAGTACAACAAACTGACATATGGGTGGTGAAGTAGAAATTTAGGGCCACACAAATGCTCATACGTTTAAATGGAGGAATTGCAAAAGAGAGAGAGGCAAGGAATGACAGATACACAACTTCAGCTCTTTACTTTGCAATAGTTCTGTTATGGCTCCATTACAAATATTTTTTCTTAAAAGTATGCACATGTAACAGCTTTTTGGTATGCATATATATTAAGAAGGAAAAATAATATGAAAAAATCTACAGTTCCGCAGGCAAACATTAATTACTTCATTCCTATGGAACCACTAGATACAACTTGTTTGAAGTTCAGTTTTAAGGATTGCTCCTTTAAAACAAGATTTCTCCATCCATTTTTCTCTCCTCTCCTGGAGCATTTGCATCTAAATATCCATACATGGTATAATATCTTCCATTATCTATTTCTCACTCTCCTTAACAGTAAGGTCCTTAAATGACTTGTTCATACTTGCTGTCTCCAATTCTTCTCTTCTCTTTGAACTCATAACCAAATCAAACCAAACTCACTGCCGTTGAGTCACTTCCAACTCATAACCACCCCCATTGGGTTTCTAAGGTTGTAAATATTTATAGAAGCAGACAGACTGCCTCATCTTTCTTCTGCAGAGCAGCTGGTGGGTTTGAACTGCTGACCTTTGGGTTAGCAGCGAAGTGCCTTAACCACGACACCACTAGAGCTCCTTTTGAACTCATAACCAAACCAAAAACCAAGCCCACTGCCATCAAGTCAATTCTGACTCATCGTGACCCCCCTGTTCGGTTTCCAAGGCAGTACATCTTACGGAAGTAGATTGTTCCATCTTCCTTCCATGGAGTGGCTGCTGGGTTTGAACCACCAACCTTCTGATTAGCAGTCAAATGCTTTAGACACTGTGTCACCAGAGGTCCTGTGGTCCTGTTTAAAAAAAAAAGAAAAAAAAAAAACCAAACTCACTGCCGTCAAGTCAGCTCCGATGCATAGCGACCCCTTCTTGGGTTTCCAAGGCAATATCACTATGGAAGAAGATTGCCCAATCTTCCGTCCAAGGAGTGGCTGGTGGGTTTGAACCACCAGCCTTCTGGTGAGCAGACAAATGCCTTAGTCACTATGCCACCAGAGCTCCTGTTAGTGAGCCTTAATCACCTCTGCAGTTGCACGGACCTTATTGAGAATATGGTGACTTTCCTATTACCAAAAGTGATAGTGAGTTCTTAATCTTCACCTTCCCTGTCCTAT